GGGGGGTCCTTACTTTTTATATGGTAATTGTGTATTACATTTCCATGGAGTTTTATGCTGGGAGGGATGTTAGATTCCTATTGAACCTGAGATTTTTAAGTGACTTGATATGTATACATTTTGCATATAAATTTAACATCTATCAAAACGGTAATTAGTCTCTGAATTACAGAAACCATAATATTTTATGATTTAGATTAAATACTGATTGACAGGCATCCTATTTTGACAACTAATTTTAAAGTATATTATTTTTTGACTATCTTTGCACTAAAGATTATTCAATTAGGACTCAACATTTAAAAATGTTACAAAAATACTACTGATCGATGCTTTCAAACTTAATTTTAAGGACATGTCTTTGTGCTCCAGAGATGCATAAATCTAGACACAGGGTTTTTGGTTGTTTTTTTGGGGGGGGTTTAAAAAATATATCTTTATTGATCTCAGAGAGAGGAAAGGAGAGGGAGAGAGAGAGATAGAAACATCAATGATGAGAAAGTCATTGATAGGCTACAGCCCACAACCCGGGCACGTGCCCTGACTGGGAATCGAACCCCGATCACCTGGATCCTAGGTCGATGCTCAACCTCTGAGCCACACCCGGCCAGGCTAGACACAGGTTTTTATTAAATGAGAAAATTGAAAGCAGAGCTTGGTGAAGGATTAAGAAAATTTTATAAACAAAAAAGTTGTGGTATTTTGAATAGAAAGTATATAGTGGTGATACTGACATATACCCCTCTCTGCCTGTGTACATATAGAGAGGTACATGACATTTGAGATAATGTATCATTGGCTGGCATTGTAACCTCAGTAAATTGACACAGGCAGACCTGACAAGTCACTTGGTTTGTTGTACTGTCATCCTACCCACCACAAGGTTGCGGGTTCTATTTCTGGTCAGGCATGTATGGGAGGCTGCCTATTGGTGTTTCTTTTCTTTTTCTCTTCTTAAAATATATCTTTATTGATTTCAGAGAGAGAGAGAGAGACGTCAATGATGAGAGAGCCATCATTGATCAGTTGCCTCCTGCACACCCCCAACTGGGGATCAAGCCTGCAACCCAGTCACGTGCCCTGACTTGGAATAGAACCATGATCTCCTGGATCCTAGGTTGATGCTGAACCACTGAGCCACGCCCCGCCAGGTGCCTATCAGTGTTTCTTACATCACTGTTTCTCTCTCTCCCTCTCCCTCTGACTCCCTTACCTCCTCTCTCCCCTTTTTCCTTCGTCCCTCCATTTCTAAAATCAATAAAAATATTTCTTCAGGTGAGGATTAAGAAATATAAAAAAAATAAATTGACACAAGCCAGAAATTATAATACAACCTGTGCGAGCTCTTCAATAGTTATATGTACAGCGTCTGTGGTTTGTCCTGTTCTAAAGGGGCATCATAACAAGTAGTCCCTGGATGGTGCTTTTTAACCACAGAAGTACAGGTAATAATTGTTTTTAGAAATTTGCAAGTTTAATTTTAATTTTTATAGGTTTTTCCAGTAACAAGCTTGAAGAAGGCGACAGCTCTGGTTTCTGGAGAGGTGGTAAGTTCAGTGTTTTTTGTAGTGACTTTTACAATTTAATGTCTATAGTACATGCTAAAGAGAAACTAAGATCAAGTATTTTAATCTGTTCCAATTGTAGTTTGTTTAAGCCATTTTATAAAGCAGCTGTTGCCAGAGCCTTCACCAAGAATTTAGGCACCCTGGTTTGGCCCAGTGCCACATGTCCTAGTTAATTAATAAGGCACATCTCTTGAATGCTGTGCTCCCCTAGGAAAAAGGTGATAGTAGCAACAGCAAGTCAAGAATGAAAATTTTACTTCCAAATATAAATACAGTTTGGGACATGTCGGTCCCTATTCAGATTTAAATAAGTCTGACAGTTGAAGAAGATTGATGAGACTAGCTCTCTGCCGAAGTCACAGACATTTCTGTCAAAGGTCTGACACTGGTTTAGAGGGCTATAGAGACGATGAGAACAGAGCAGTGTTCCCAGAAGATGGACTTCAGTGGTGGACAGTGCTTTGCCAGGAGGACCTCACCTGACTGAGTAGGTTGGGGTGGCGCCTGGGACCTGTGTTAGAAAGCAGCCCCAGTAACCCTGATGCCCTGGGATCTCGTTAACAATGGACTGCAGAGTTCCAGACTGTTACCTGTCCCTGCTCTGCCACCTGCACGTTGAATGACTTGGAGCAAGTTGTTACTTTCTCGGAGCCACAGGTTTCTGTTCTTTAGAAGGGAGACCTTTCATTTTATAGGTGGTTAGGCAGACTACACAAGGATGCGTGTAAAAGCATGAAGCCCAACCAGACACAGTCATGGTAAACAATAAATGCCACCTGTTTTCATGAAATATTTGATACTTGATCTTATATTCTTAACAGTGATTCTCAGAAGCAAAACCAAACCCTTTTGGAATAAGGTGGGGTTTTAATATATCAAATAAGACTGTCCACCCAAACTGTTGTCAGTCTCAGTCTCCCCGCATCTCTGCTTTTCCTCCTGTCCCATTCACATGAACATACACAGCATGGAACTAATATTTGAGTGAAGAAAAATTTCTACTGGACCTAATCTCCTAGTTTTTAACCAATTGATATTGACGGTCATTCCCACTTATGGAAGCCCTTCCTCCTGGGTGGCTTCTTTGGAAGTGGAGCCCTTTGGAGCAGAATCCAGCTGCTCACAGCACATGAGAGCACATCTTTCCTCCCAGTGCTCTGCTTTCTTTCCTTTGGTCTACTTTCTTCTGTTCTTGTTCTCAGTTCCCCTAAAATTAAAAAAAAAAAGGTGTATGGGTTGAATTCTTTCATTGTCACAGTGATTGTTGGCAGGCCCAGGAGCAGGTCTTGATGCCACAACAGCTTTTGCTCTGCACCTGGTGGACAGCATGTGTGGTTGCCATTCCCGCAGCCTGCCTTCCCCTGGCTGGGATGGTGTAGTGATACGGAGTTCAGATTTGGACTTGGACACTGAGACCCTCCTCCTCCTGGCAGCTGTATTATCTTGAAAAACGCATTTAACTTCTCTGCATTTCATTCTCTCCATTTATAAAATGGTTTTTGTGAGGATTTAAAAGTGTAATTCATTTAGAACAGTGCCACTGTCTAACACTAAGTTCTCTGTTATTACTGTTATTTTGACATAATTTATAGGTTGTAACTAATCTTGGGATCGTTATCTAATTTTTATCTGTGCTTGGCTTTATTTAATNTGTTATTTTGACATAATTTATAGGTTGTAACAAATCTTGGGATCGTTATCTAATTTTTATCTGTGCTTGGCTTTATTTAATGACTTCACAGAAATCCTTTTTTATATGTAACCTGTTTTGAAATAGTTGAAGGCTTCGATGAAGTTGGGAAATAGTGCAGAGGGTTTCCTTCGCCCTCTCCTCCTGCTGTAATTGTACCTCCATCCAGCTCCTAAGGCCATCAGCCTGTGTCAATTCCCAGGGCAGTGAAATAGCTGCAGGTTTGTTTCAGGGGAATCATTGGCTGAATAGTGTGAGGCCTCTCTCTCCTTGCCCGGCTCCGAATCATTTGATGGGTTTTTCTGTGAAGCAGTGAATGTTGGCTTTCATCCTCGGTGTTCTAGGGTCAGCCTTCTTTCCTGAACCCTCTCTCCTCTTCAGCCCCTTGTAGTAAATCCTGCTTCTCAGAAGATTGCTGGATATTAGATGGCTCTTTGGGAATATGTGTCAGTTGACTTCAGCTCAAACAGGTACCTGCGACAAGCGCTGTGGGTTGTTTATTGCAAAAGCAATATTAATTGTTAGGTAGATGAGGACTTCTGCACAGAAACCGCACAGGTAGCACCTAAGTTGTTTGCTACTTATGTCCTCACTGTGACTTACAGTTCTCAGGTACATAAACAAAGATTCCTCAAAACGATCTCTGTCTTTGTGGAAGTATTCTAGAAAGCTTGAAGTTACTAACATTTTGTTAACATAACTTTTTACATTTAAAAATTATTCATTCTTGCCTGGCCGGGCATGGCTCATTGGTAAAGCATCGACCTGGGATCCAGGCGATCAGGGTTCGATTTCCGGTCAGGGCATGNTAGTCTCCAAATCCAGTAGAGTATTTTAGAATTAGGAAATATTGAGCCTAAAAATTCATCAAGTCCCTCACTTTATAACTGAAGAAACTGGGACCTGCAGTGGGTAAAAAGTCCAGAAAATTTAATGACTTATCCAAGATACATGCAAGTCAGTTAGTAGGAGAGGTTATCTAAAAGCATTTAATTTAGAACAAACGTACACAGTAATATTTGCAAAACAATAAAACATCATTACACAATTTTATATCAGTTACAAGGGCTTGCTTATTTCCCCTCTCTTAAAAAAAAAAAAAAAAAATAAAAAAAAAAAAAAAAAAAAAATATTCATTCTTTACTATCACTTTACACTTTCAAAATAAACATCTCTGGGGGTGGGTCTTGGGAATTTATTTTTAATAATATTTATTTTATTTTTATTTTTAATCAGCTTTCCAGGTACTCTTAGGCAACCGTCAGTGTAGTGATCCTCTTACCTATTTAGAAACCCTGGCAATGGCATTAAAACCAGAAAAGCCAGGATATTCCCAGTGTTTTCATTAGCACAATAGGAAAATGTTCTCATATCTTCAAAAAAAAAACACCAAACTTATGTCTCAGATTTATTAAAAAGGCAAGTTAGAGAAAGAAGGATGACACACGTAAGAGCGCAGTCACGTGCTCCTGGTGGTCTAGACCACGTTGGAGACCACTCATAGAGGAGGGATTTCTGAGACCATTTTAATTGAATTGACATTTATGAAATGCTTATTTTTTGGCTTATACCTTGCTCTTGGCACAGTGGGTTCTCCATTATACACTTTCCATGCTCTTGGCCCAGTGGGTAGTAGATGATTGAGCTGTAGTAGGTGATTGTATAGGGGATTGACTGAAAAATGTCTTTATATTTTTTATATTTCTGTTAAATTATTTTAAGAATTGTTTATATTTTAACTTATGAAAATATTTTCTTACTAATTTACCTTGCGACAGTGCTATTTTTATTTTAAAGTAACTAATTTTTTAATTGCAGTTGACATACAGTCTTGTAGTGATTTCAGGTGTACAACATAGTGGTGACTGCTAATATTTAGACATCCCATCTTTAAAGTTAGTTATTGGGATGCTGTTCTCATGGTAAATTTCTATTCAAGAGTCCAACAATTACGGTGAAGAGAGTCAGACGCGGAGCAGAGGGTTCTCCAGGAGAGGAGGTAAGGACCACGTTTTGGAACAGTTTGTACTGATGACCGATATTCAGCTGACAAAACTGATTTTGGGAAAGGTGAAAGAAATTCTGGTGGTAAAAACCTTGGAAGAAAAATGCCTTGGCATATGGTTTGTGCTGTTAATATGCAGGTGAATGTTCAGAAGGTGTTTCCCTTTCCACTTTCTGCTGTCATTGGATTTCCCGAGATCTCCAGAACGTGCTGAGAAGTACAGAGCAGGCGGGGCTGTGCGGGTCCTGGTCATTCACAGATGAACTGGGATGTCTGTGTCTCCAAACAATCATCGGAGATGTAGGGGAGGGAGAAATTGTAAATTACTTGTTGTGGTCTAGGGTAGTCCACCATGCTGGCTAATCCTGCCTTTAATGAAGGTGAGGTGAGATGGCATCAACATTGTAATGCTTCGTTCTTGATTACCTGTAGGCAGACATGTTAAAAGAGCAACAACAAAACCCACAGAAAGACTACCATGAACTTACAAAATTACAAGTGTGCAAAGCTCCTTAGAATAAGAGTCTATTGTGGGAACTCCATCGTACAGAAGTAGGGGAGAAAATAGACTCTAAGGCATATTAGTGATAAAAATTACTTAATGATAAAAGGCATATTCACTGGGAAGGTGTTATAGTTCTGAGTGTGGCTGGAATCTAACATATTCCATATATAAAGCAAAAATAGACATAATTATAAGAAAATTTTGCAAATCCTAGTTAAACCCTTAATTCTAGATTTATACTGTTTTTTCCTCAGAATCTGATAGACTGAGCAGAAGGGAAATGAGTAAGACTATAGAAGATTTAAAGACAAGTTACCAGGCTTGATTTAATATACTGTGGAATAATACACCCCCAAAGTGTGTTTTGTGTTTTCTTCCAGTGTGTGGAAAAATACATACCGTTTGACCGTCTGTTAAGGCCAAATGAAGTTTTAGAATATACCGTAGGATTTATGTCAAGGCCTTGTCTTGTTGCTGAAGGACAGTAAAAGTGGAACTCAGTGTCAGAGGCCTAACCCTTGTGGTTGGGAACTGAATTCTCAGTTTATGCATAATATGGAAATAATGAAATATTTAGAATTGAATGGCAGTAAAAACAGAACACATCAGAACTTATAGGATATAACTAGCACAGCTAGCATTTTAGTTATTTTTAATTTTTTTTATTCTCACCTAAGGATATTTTTTCAGTTGCTTTTCAGGAGGAGGGGGAGAGAAAAACATGGATGTGAGAGTCACATGGACTGGTTGCCTCCTGCTTGTGCCCCAACCCGGCCAGGGCCAGGGATGGAGCCTGCAACGGAGGTACATGCCCTGTGCCCTTGGCTGGGATCGAACCCAGAACCCTTCAGTCGGAGGACTGTTGCTCTTACCACTGAGCCAAACTGGCTTGGGCCCAGGCTGGCTTTTTAGAGGAAAGGTTATAGTCTTCAGTGCATCCATCAGAAAAAATTAGTGTTCAACTTAAATAAAGGGGGAGGAAAGTTCAGTAGGAAAAGAAAGAAGGTGGTGCCATGGAGGAAAGAGGGACATGCAGTGGAGAGTAGCTCAGCAGCAGAAGTGAAGTAGTTCACGAAGCGGCCAAAGCAAAGGTGACTAGAAGCATGACAGGGAATGTGTCCTGTTTAAAAAGCTCAGAACAGAGCCCAGCGGTGTCTTGAGGAAGGATAAGTACATAATTTGTAAAGTAAGAGCAAGGGAATGAAAAAACACTGAGTATTGGGTGAGTGGGGGAGGTTCCCAGGGGAAGAAGGGAGACGCTCTAGGGGAAAGGTGCTGGGAACATTTTAGTCTTAATGTGGGTAGTGGGTCTGTAGGTTTTCATTTTACTATATTTTAAAATGTGCATGTGTTTTATATGTTTTACTTATACACAGAAGCAGGAAAATAACTTAGGGCTAAAGATAGAAAAGCAGATAAAGACTTTCATGAAGAGAGAAATTCTGATAAAGAGACACAAATAAATCCTTTACAAGAACAAGGCGAGTCAGTATTGATAAGTAAACCCCGCTGGGCTGAGGAGTGCTCTGTGAGGGTTAGGCTGGTAATAGATGCAGAACCGTGACACAGCTTAGTCTGTCCCAATTTATAAATAGGCTTTGAAAATACATATAATCCAGTATCCTATGTAGAATTTTCATTGATCAGTTTCTTTAGTTATAAATAGTTCCAGGTTCATAAACTATATAATCTCAAAATTTCCTACCTAGTTGGCGTCTTGGTTTTGAATTGATCTTGTTCTGTCATAGGTGGGGTCCCATTTTACTTGAACTGTTTCTACTGATTTTTTTGGTATTCCATTGAGTTAAAAATGTATTGTTTAGCCCAGCTGGGCGTGGCTCAGCAGTTGGGCATCGACCTAGGATCCAGGAGATTGAGGTTGGATTCCCGGTCAGGGCACGTGCCCGGGGCCCAGTCACCAGTCGGGGGTGTGCAGGAGGCAGCTGATCAATGACAACGCTCTCACCATTGATGTTTCTATCTCTCTCCTCCCTCTCCTTTTCTCTCTGATATCAGTAAACATTTTTTTTTTTAAATATTGTTTATAACAGGAAGTCAGACTGTGTACCTGCATATCTGTGCTGAGTATGATGATTACTATTTCCTATAGGAGCAAATAGAAGTCCAGATTTATTTAATCTGTGGACTGTGGAAATCCTGTTAATGAGGCAATTGTGGCAACTTTCAGTATTTTACAAGTGACACTGTTTCCTTATAGTCACTTTTAGTTTTGATTCCCAAAGTAAGCAGTGGTTTTTTAAAAAAAATTGTAGCTATATCTGTTTATAGTAGAGCTAAACATTTATAGGTCAAATATGGTGTTTCTTTTTAGTAACTGTTAATGCCTTAAAATACTTAAAGTCATTGACTTACGCAGGGCTTAAGTTAGACTGGACCACTGTGTCCCCAAAGTGTCTTTGTTCTTGGTGGTTCAGTGTGTGTTTCGCTGTTGTAGGCTATCAGGATGGAAATGATTCGGAAACTTCAACGCCATCCAGAAGAGGTGGAAGAGGTGGCTTCCGGGGCTGCCGTGGAGGATTTGGCCTGGGAAGTCCAAGTTAGTAGTGGGTTGCAAATGGTGTGGTTCAGTGAGGAGGACATTTACAAACAATGCCTGTCACCGAAAGGTGGTTGGGAGGATGAGATGAGGATAGCCTAGTGCAGGGGCGAGCACATGGTCACCAAGGTTGTACCTGCGTGTATGAGTCCGTTTAGAAGTGTGTATGACTCAGTTCTTCAGTGTTAACATGCTCTCCAGTGTGACCTGCTCTGCAGCTCTCCCAGTATGCACACCTTGTTTGAACAGCATGGCTCCATGCCCCAGACTCCTCCCCCCCATCAGCCCTTGGGGCCCAGGAGTTGCCTTGAGAAGTCCCTGTTGGGTTGCACATCTCTTGGGGAGGACAGATGAGTGGCCCTGGAAGCTGAAAGCATAGGTTTGAAAGGGTGATGTACTAGGTGTGGAGCACATTAGTGAATTGTAGCTTTTTAAAAGTGTGGGGATTGGTGGGTTGCTGCACAGGAGGTCAGGCTCGCATGGCGGGAGCCAAGGGGCCATTCCAGAGAAAAGCAGTCAGTGCAGGTCCTGGGGCAGACACAGTTGCTACCTTTTGGAGGTGACTTAACGTTGCCAGCATTATATTTTACATAGCATTGGTCCTGACTTCTATTATAAAATAATTTTACGAAAATAAAAGTTCTGAGGAAGTAATCTGTAACTGAAGGAAATAATTTGTGGAGAAATCCTTTGTGCAGTACTTAGAATAATACTCATAAGATTCCTGTTAAACTTAAAGTATTTTACCCCACGTCTTTTTTTTTTTGGTCTTTTTTAAAAAAATTTTTTATATATCTTTATTGATTTCAGAGAGAGGGCAGCAGGGGAGAGAGAGATAGAAACACCAATGATGAGAGAGTCATTGGGGATCGAGCCCGCCACCTGGGCATGTGCCCTGACCGGGAATCGAACCCTGATCGCCTGGATCCTAGGTCGAGGCTCAACCGCTGAGCCACCCCCGGCTGGGCTACCCCACGTCTTTTAACTTCTGCCACTAAAACTTGATTTTTTTATTTTTACCCGTGATTTAACAACTTCTTAAAAATAACATAATCCAAGCTTATAATCTATAAATCTAGACAGCGAATGTGAGCAAGATGAGGGGACACCACGCACTGGCGGCCTTTTTGGATCTAGGAGACCTTCATTGAGTGGCCCAGGTGAGAAATAGAATTCATTATTGAATATTAATCATTCACATATGCCTTCAGTTCTAGGATTAGCAAACCTAACATGTATGTTTAAGTAGACTAGGTTGGTTCATGGTTTTCTCTGCTTTCTAGATCTGTAGGCAAAAATACATGGACAATTTTGCCTCTTATAAAATTTGTACACTGTGAATTATTTCTTCTCTCTCATCTATCAGCTAATTTCAGGTTTAAATTGTACTTTTAATTAGAGGAAGGAAAATGAAGTTTGCATTGGTTTCAAAGAAGGGATTCTGATTTAGGGGATGTGAGGAAAAATAAAATAAGAATACAGTTGATGAAAAATGTTCAAGTGTGAGTAAATAAACTGGTGCATCCAGACAATTGGACATTTCTCAGCGCTAAAATGAGATTAGCTACCAGGCTATGAGAAGATACAGAGGAACCTTAAATGCATGTTACTAAGTGAAAGAGGCCAACCTGAACTGACTGCACACCATCTGGTTCCAACTGCATGACATTCTGGGAAAGGAAACCGACCGGGGAAGGGTGAAAAGATGGGGAGGGATGAACAGGCAGAGCACAAGAGGACTTGAGGGTTGTGGAGCTACTCCGCGCAGGACTGAAGTGGTGGATGCATGTCATTATATGTTTGTCAGACCAGCAGGCTGTTCAGCACAGAGTGAACCAGACATCAGCTCTGGACTCTGGGCTATGACAAGTGTCAGGAAAGGGTCATCAGTATTAACAGATGCACCTCGGAGGGTGTTGATCATGGGGGAAGGTATACAGGTGTGGGGACAGGGAGATGGGACATCCCTGTGTCTTCCCCTCAGTTTTGCTGTGAACCCAAAACTGCTCTAAAAAATGAACAATACACTGAGATGAGAAAAAGGTTTGAATTAAGTGTAGACTGAAGAGAGGGATGGCTGAAGGGACTAGGAGCCCTGAGTGCTTAGTCCTGGACTAGAAAAAGCTCTATGGTGGTGAAGTTGTGTTTTCACTAAACGTTCTGCAAAACAATGTCTTCCAGGCAATGGGGACATTTACCACAGCAGGACTGGGAGTGGACGAGGTGAGTTTCTCTTTGTTTGTTTATTGTTGTTAATCCACAACCGAGATGTTTTTTCAGCTGATTTTTAGAGAGAGTGGAAGAGAGGGAGGGAGGAGGTGGGAGGAAGAGAGAGAGAGAAACATGGATGTGAGAGAGACACATCAATTGGTTGCCTCCCACACATACCCTGACTGGGCCCAGGGATCGAACCCACAACCCAGGTATGTGCCCTTGACCAGGAAACCTGAGACCCTTTGGTGTACGGGCAGCGCTCTAACCACTGGGCCACACGGGCCAGGTCTGAGGTGAGTTTTTATTTGGTTTCCCTGTAAGTGGTTAAAATGATTATAGTCCAACTTTAATTTTTGAAGTTAAAGGTAGCTGTTACTGCTCTTATACACTTGGAGGAGCACATGTTTGCACAGCCTTGTTTTAGACTTAATACTCTCGAATCCAGAAATTCCTCTTCAGGAGTTGTACACTGTAGATGATTTGCTTAGTACGTGTGCAAGGCTGCTCACTGAGGCTTCATTAATATTAAGTAAAGACTGAAACCCCCCTGAAATTTATCAGCAATTGGCTTTGATAAATAATAGAACCATAAAATGTGATACCATGCAAATATTAAAGATTGAGAATCATCTGTGTATACAGATACTTATTTTAAAATAGTCTGTTTTTTCTTATGATACAGTTATTTGATTTGGTGTAGGCGATAAAGTTCAGTATACATGACTTGGTACCGTAAGAAATATTTTCAGAGCTATAAACACTTAAATGTCATGTAAAAGTGAAAATGCTTTTGGGCTGTTAGAACAGCGAAGTGGGTTGGCTGTCTGGAAACCCTCAGTGATGTGGTTAGTCCGAGAGCAGTCAGAGCAGCCCTGCCTGACTCCTGGGTTCTCCCTTCTAGAAAGAGGGTCTTCTCCAAATGTTCCCATGTTTGAAAAAACATTTAAAAGACCTTTCTGTGGATAAAGTTAGAAGGCTGCCATGTAAAAATACCACGTCTTGTTAGCTTTCCAGATCTAGTGCAGTCCCTGTTCTGTGTTGTGGTTGTACCTGAGAGTGGCCCCGAGGTGACAAGTTGAAGCAGAAAGGTTGTGGGCACACAGGGAGGGTCTAGCGTAGCGGCCTGACTGCTATTCACTCCTGCCTGCAGGCTGCCCTGGTGTCTGGGAAGTTGGATTGGGAAGGGCTCTCATCCCTAACGCCGAGTGGCTCACTGCGCCTCACCTGTTTGTACAGGAGTGGTTTGTGCTGGACACTTGCCTTTCTTCTGGGGGTCTGGAGTGTGGGTAGGTGCCAGGCAGAAGGCGGCTGCATTGTCAGCCCCTCATAAAAAGACTGGGTCTCGAGTCTGCTGACCTTCCTCTGGGGACAGCAGTGCCAGCATGCTGTCACAGTGCCTTCCTGTGGTGTGAAGCATGTCCTGTGTGACACAGTAGGGGAGGACGTGGATTCTGGGGCCTGGGTGTCTCTGACTTTGCCCCTTGGCTGATTCTCCTCTCTGTCCTTTTCCTGTAGTGAGTTATTGCCATGAGTCCTAGGAAATGGTGGAACCTGGAGGTGCTGGTGGGGCACCCCAACACAGATGAATGTCTTGTTCCTTTTAAAAAATAAGTTCCTTTGCTGAGGGATATGGGAATTAGGAGATATAACAGCTTAAACAAAAAGTAGTAATATATAACAGGGTCATCTGCATAAAACCAGCATTTTGAATACTAAGGAAGTTTGAACTGCTCAGGATTCTATGTATCTTACGTGTCTCAAGTATTGTTTGTACAAAAGGACCTTAAAGATGCCTGTCCATTTTTAGAACTGTTTTCTTTGGAGACAAGCAGTGAAAATAACGCTGTGTACAGCCTTTGTCCTGATTGTCACTGTGAATTTCTTTAACAGGTGGTTACAAAGGGCTAAATGAGGAAGTCATAACAGGCTCTGGGAAGAGTAAGTTTTACTTTAGATAAGGTGTTTGCTCTTACAGCTAGAGTCCTTTTACCAACCTCACTTTGTAAAAATTTATCTCTTTGGGTTTGATTCCCTTTAAGATTCCTGGAAGTCAGGAACTGAAGGAGCAGAAGGTGATGACGCTCAAGGTACATTAATTTTTGTGTGATTCACAGACTGTATATTGCATTTAAATAAAAATACAGAATGTTTAAAAGCAGAGTTAACTTTTTAAAATTTGTAAAGAAAACTTTAATGCTAAATATTGGGGAATTCTACAGTATTTAAAATTTGATTTTATCAGTTTTTATCAGTTTTCCTACTTTTCTTCTAGTCCTGTAATGTAGATTCTGTTTATTATTTGAATTCCAAGGACCAAAAGTGACCTACGTACCCCCTGCCCCACCCGAGGACGAGGACTCCATCTTCGCACATTATCAGACAGGCATCAACTTTGACAAGTACGATAGTATTCTCGTGGAAGTGTCTGGACACGATGTTCCACCAGCAATTCTGGTCAGTGTAACAATTATTCCTGTATTGGCTGTGTAGCAGACTTTGGTTTTAAAATACAGGGTGCATTCCTTTAAGTTGGTAGTAAAGCATGTAAGAATTTCATCTTTAGTAAATAACCTGTTAGGAAAATTAAAACCCTGTCTACCATGTACATTAGAATTAAATGCTGTGTTGAAAGAGGCGACTGTATTTCATCCCTACCTCTCCAAACCAGGATGCAATTTTACTTAAATTTACTGAAAGGGATACTTTTTCTAGAGTCAAGATTTCTGCTTCCTGGGTATGTGAGAAAGTGTGTCTCAGGGGAGTGATTTTTAAGGCATGTGGGACCTCACGGTCCCTGTTGATAATGAGCCATTGTTACTGATCAGTTATTTGTATCTCACAGGTTTAAAGGGAAGCAGAAAAAATGTTTTAGAACCTACACTGTCTACTGGAACTGTTCCTTAACTCTATCAAGTAATGATACAGGCTCTGGATAGTACCTTGAGTGGGGCATATCAGTAAAGTAACTTCATTGTATAGAATGGAATTAACAAAAAGTTGAAACTGATTAAAATGGAATATGCTTATGGGATATCTGCAGGTGATATGTGGAATTGAATCACTGCCCCCTTTTTTTTAGACATTTGAAGAAGCTAATCTCTGTCCAACACTGAATAACAACATTGCTAAAGCTGGTTATACTAAGCTCACTCCTGTGCAGAAATACAGCATTCCTATCATACTCGCAGGACGCGATCTAATGGCCTGTGCGCAGACAGGCTCGGGAAAAACCGTAAGTCATCTTCCCACGTGTATTCTGCCCATACTCACACCGTTAATGTTTTTTGAAGTTTGGTTCTTCCCCAAGTAGCTTGAATCTCTTTTGTTGGATTGAAAGTTTGAAGATGATTTCTGTGAACTGTCATAACTACTGTATTTATGTTTTTCCTCCTGGTTTTATTGGGGTTTGTGTAGTTCTGAAGAAAGAATTTTGAACCATTTTTAGAATAGTTTTGCAGTTAATAGGTGTTTAATTTTTCTAAGTGTGTTCAGCTCCTTCTGGAGCATGGAACTATCTAAACCAAAATGATCGAGGGTAAAGGACCAGAGGTGATAAAGCACAGAGGAAGGGAGAAGACAGCTTTTGTAATACGCTGTTTTGGGGTCAAAGGAATGAAAATTGCTGTATGCATCACATGGAGTGACCTCAGGCTGTGCTGATGCTGAAAGAACTGATGAGACCAGGTTGGCTTTAGGACTAACCTGTTAGTCTATTAAATAGGATTCCATGAGATGAGTTCTAGACTGTCATTTCCAGGATCTCAGTCTTGGTTCACAGTATTTTAGTCTTAGCCTACATGGTAGAGTCAAAGGGAAAAATGGGTGAGTTGTGTAATATAGCAGCTGATGTATGACTCAAGCATGGTTTTAGTGTCTTAGTTGCTTGATAAGAGAACTTTAGGAAAAAATGTGTCTTGCCAGATTTAATTTCAATAAGGGTGACATGTTTATGATCTGAATGTCTGATTTCCCAATTTTTGCTCCACTTGTGGACCATTTTTATCAGACATTCTGAGTGGCAATCTTATCACTGCCCCAAAAGGACTCAGAATAATGGCTCACTGCCTCGATTTTCATCCAGTTATGTCTACATTCCCCTCCATAGATGAGTTAATGTGCTTTGATTTATTTAGAAGCCATGGGTATGCTTTTTAAAAAGAACTTAAAATATTTTGATTGGGTACATTAACTTTATCAAACATTTTACATTGTATAATATGAGCATAAAGAGCTAAATGTTAAAAATGGATTGAAATGAAAATTGTTTTCCTGTCTCATTTAAAATTAACCAGCCAGATGGAAGAGGCCTCTAAGGCTCTAGGGCATGAGGAATAGGTTTGCCCAGGGTAAAGGATGATGCTTGGTAATTTGTAAATTACGCTATTTAACTTGCAGGCAGCTTTCCTCCTGCCGATCCTGGCACACATGATGCGTGACGGCGTGACTGCCAGTCGTTTCCGAGAGCTGCAGGAGCCCGAGTGCATTATCGTGGCCCCCACTCGAGAACTGATCAACCAGATCTACCTGGAAGCCAGGAAGTTTTCTTTTGGGTAAGTGCACCTGAAGGCCACTCACAACCAGGGTTTCTTTACAGGTTTCTCCCTTGTTGAGGAAGAGCTCAGGAATAAGGCAGCCGTGGAGTTAGGATTATTGATGGACATGTTCTTTTTTCGTAACCTTGCTGTGGAATCCCTGCTTATTTTTACTTTTAAAAGGAAACATCCTTATTAAAATGAGATGATACTAGAAGTAGAATGATAAAAAAGCAGTGAACATATTGGTGTGTGTTCTGGTAGTTTTCAATTTGAAAAATGAACTTTGGGTGTTGCTAATAATTTTCTGTTCTTTTACACATAAATATGAAAAACTGCTTATTTCATAATCAGACCTAATTTTTAATAACTTTAAGATTGTCTATATGTGTTTATATTTTGTTTCTCTATTTGGGGGCATTGGAGTTGTTTCTAAGTTGGGGCTGCTATAAATAAAGCTGTAATGAACAGTGTTATAAATTTTCTGTTTTTATGTTTGAATATTTTCTTAGAGTAGATTTTAATAGATTTAATGTACTTACGTTAGAGCCTGCTCCCATGTACATGTCTACCATCCATATATGGGAATGCCCAGGCCACTCGACACGTTGCCAGTATTGGGTATTGTATTAGTTATCTATTGCTTAACAAGTTACTCTGAAACTTCATTGCTGAAAACAAATGTCATCTCACAGTTTGTAGGGGTTGGGAGCTGGGAGACAATTTAGCTGGGTGCTTCTGTCTTGGGGTCTCTTACGAGGCTGCAGACAAGATAACAACCAGAGTTGCAGTCATCTGAGGCTTGACTGGACTCCTGCAGGACGCTTGACTGTCCTCAGGAAATGGCAGTGGCTCCCTTTAGAGTGAGTGATCAGTGAGAAAGCAAGGAGGAGACTGAAGGGCTTTATAAATTTTGGATATTAACCATTACCTGAGTATCCTTGGTGAATACCTTCTTCCATTCAGTAGGTAGTTTTTTTCGTTTTGTTTTTTGTTGTTTTTTTTATCATTTCCTTTGCTGTGCAAAAACTTACAGTTTGATGTTGTCCCATTTGTTTATTTTTTCTTTTGTTCCCCTTGACTGAGGAGATCTATCAGAAAACATACTGCTAAGGGAAGTGCCTGAGGTTTTACTGCTTGTGTTTTCTTCTAGGAGTTTTATGGTTTTAAGTCTTGCATTTAACTCTTTAATCCATTTTGAGTTTAATCTTGTGTATGATGTAGGAAGGTGGTGTAGTTTCATTTTTGCATATATCTCCAATTTTCCCAGCAAGATTTATTGAATAGACTGTCTTTACCCCATTGTATGTTCTTGCCTCCTTTGTCAAACATTAATCATATAGGCATGGGTTTATTTAATTTCTGGGCTCTCTATTCTGCTCCATTGATCCGTATGTCTGTTTTTGTGCCAGTACCGTGCTGTTTTGATTTATAANCCGTATGTCTGTTTTTGTGCCAGTACCATGCTGTTTTGATTTATAACCTTGTAGTATAGTTTGATATCAGGTAGCGTGATTCCTCCAACTTTGTTCTTTTACACAATTGCTGTGGCTATTTGGGGTCTTTTGTGGTTCTATATACATTTTTGGATTATTTGTTCTAGTTCTGTGAAAAACGCCATTGGTATTCTGATAGGAATTGCACTGAATCTATAGATTGCTTTGGGTTGTATGGATATTTTAACGATGTTAATTTTTCCAGTCCATAAGCTGTTCCTCCAGCCCTCACCCAGAAGCCACACTCTGGCAGCCTTCCAGCCTCCATCTCTTCACTGGAGCCCAAGAGTGAGTGCTCACAAATGAGAGTTTGTGCAGTGTCCCTTTAAGAGGACACCTGGGTTACCAGCAGCCTTCTGTCTCAACTGGACAGATGGGATCCCTGCTGATTTTCATGGCCAGATGTTAGGTGGGCTCGTTTTCCCCAGCTCTACTGCTCTTGGCTGGGGAGCCCGGTGTGTGGTTGAGACCCCTCTTAAGAGGGAACCTTTGCAGCTGAGACATCTTTTCTGGTTCTCAGCCGCTACCCATGTGAGTGGGCCAGCCTTTTTTGCATCTCTGCCCTTCCTACCAGTCCCTGTGTGGCTTCTTCTGTAAATCCTTATTACAAGACTTCTGCTCAGCTAGTCCTCGGTTCATTATTCCGATTGATTGTTATACATTCAGTTGTAATTTTGATGTGGTCAGGGGAGGAGGGGAGCGCAGCGCCCACCTGCTCCGCCGTCTCGCCCCTTCCTCCACGTGTACGTTTCAGTCCTCTGGCGAATGGTAGCCTACTCGGCTGTTGCCACCTGTTATCTTTAAATGGTGTATGTTGTAGGTGCTGCATATCCTAGAACTGACCCTTGCTCTTTATGAATGCACAGCATTCCTTTGGGTGGATGGACTGTAATTTTGAGTTTTCTGTTGTTAGATGCTTAGTTTCAATCTTCTGATACTAAAAATAATGTTGGCAGTGAATCTTATTATTATATAGTCACCTTTTCCCATTAGGGCGACCTATCTGAAGGGTAAATTCCTATGTGTGAACTTACTGGGACAAAAATAAGTTTTTAAATTTTAATAGGCACTACAATTGTGACATGGGTGGCATCAGTTTACCCTCTCGAGGGCCACTTTCTCTGTGCTCCGCCTGACCTGGTATTACCAAGCTTGAGGGACAACATTGTGTTAGTCTTCATTTGTTTCCCTTTTAAAAATAATGTGTAACTTAAAAAATCTTTTTGTTCATGTTTTTGTCCTAATTTTGTGTGGGGGTTGGGGTGTTTTTCCTTGTTTTTGAATAGCCCATTATCAGATGGGTAAAAAAATATTTGTTCATGGTTTTTTATTTTTCTACCTCTTCCTGCGAAGAACTTAATTTTTTAAAGGTTGTTGAATGTATTAGTTTTTGTCCTTATGGGTTTTGTTTTACATTTTGTTAGAAATAAATGTCTAATTTTCAAGTTATTTTTCCTGTCAACAGAACTTGTGTAAGAGCTGTTGTCATATATGGGGGAACCCAGTTTGGGCATTCAGTTCGACAGATCATCCAGGGCTGCAATGTCTTATGTGCTACTCCTGGGAGACTGATGGATATCATAGGTAAAGAAAAGGTAGGCCCCAGAGGGATAACGTGTTTGTGGAATTGATTAATAATGTTTTTGTATGGGAAATGGAGACAGTGGTATAAAGATAGATATATTTATTAAAGCACCATTAATAACCATTATATATGAGGCCCCCATCATATTTTTTGAATGTGTTCTTATATAATTGATAAAATAATTTCAATAGGAGATAAATAGTATTTTTCATTTCATACTTGGGAAAACAAACTCAGTGTGATTGTATAATTTACTTAAAAACCCCTCAGTTAGCTCTAGTAAGTTAATAGGGCTAGAGTTAGAATCTGGAGCTGATTTCAATACCCAGCCACACTGGGAGAAAACAGGATGACCGCTTTTCTCTAGTTTCATACATGTCTTGCTGAAAGCCTTTTTTTCCTGGAAGAAAGCCTTTAACATCAGTAGTATTGTCTCCTGTTTAAGTGTGGGAGTGATAGTAACCAGACTTGTTAATTTTCTAAGACTTTAAGAAGAGATTTTAGGGCCATATACTTAATCTCTCACTAAACATTTCCCGTGGTGGTATCAGAGTTGTTCCCTGTTTGGAAACATGTGCTTCTTTTTATAGCAATAAATGTTCAGGATCTGAGGCATTTCTCAGTTGTCTTTTAGTGGTTAGAGATTGGAGAATTTATTAAGGGTGTAGAGGAGTTAGAAAACATTTGCCATTTATAAGACATTTGTATTTGTCATCCTGTTAGGAATTTTTATCTCTTAAGTTAAAGAATCTGACTTTATCATGTAGCACAGTCTACATCTGGCCGTCCAACACAGTATTCACTAGACACATGTGGCTATTAAACTTCAAAAGTGACATAAAATGTAAAAGTAGTTCTTCAGGCACACTGGCCACAGGTCAAGTGCTTACTAGCTGCAGTGGCCAGTGGCTGGCATGTCAGACAGTGAAGATGCAGGACTTTTCCTATGAGACAGACCTGTTGTGCAGTGCTGACTAGGTGTTTTGGTTTCAGTCTTATGAAGTGTTTTACAGCATTAGAGAAAGTTGAGAGGTGAAAGGAACAGTAAAGTATTATCTAAGCGAAACAATTCTCGTTTTATGCACTGATTCCTCACCCTTAAGGGTACATTAACAGTTAGAATGTGGAGAATGTCTTAATATATTAACTAGTGTGCATTCTCTGCTCTAATTTTTGAAAATATCCTTAAAGATTGGTCTTAGACAGGTCAGATACCTAGTTCTGGATGAAGCTGACCGCATGCTGGATATGGGCTTCGGACCAGAAATGAAGAAGTTGATTTCCTGCCCAGGAATGCCGTCAAAGGAGCAGCGCCAGACCCTCATGTTCAGTGCCACCTTCCCAGAGGAAATTCAGAGGTAGTTTTTTCCTTGTTAAAGATAATGGTAATGTACATAAGTGGTTTTGTGAAAGCAGAAGCAATATGCATATCTTATTTTTGAGAGAGTTGATTTTTTTAAGATTCTAATATAGTTTAAAAAGATGTATTCCTAAAAAGTTTATCATATTTTTCATTGTTTCTTACTTTGTTCCTGGCTTTGCATCAGCATGACATTTTATTAAAGTATGTGTCACAGCACCTCGTCCAGCTAGGCTTCAACAAGTGCTTACTAAAGGAGGTTATTTTCTTCAAGTCAGAATTATAGAGCTTGGGAGGATTGGGTCTTTGATAGAAAATGTGCATACCAGCTGTTGACAGATGTGGTCTGGTGAGTTGTGAGGTCAGGAGGAGAGGAGACATCCTGCTGTATGTGTGGTGACTCTGCTTCCTGCCTGTGGTCCCTTAGCTGCAGGGGCCTGAAGTGCCCAGACAGCAGTTTTAGCTTGGAATTCAGTGAGACTAGCTGTTCAGAGGTGGAACCAAGACCCCCAAGCCTGCAGAACCTATGGTGAGGGGATGGGAAGCACAGATTCCCTGTGTGGGTGACTGAGAGTGATGGGATGTAGGCCACTCTCGCTTGTGTCCCTTGGTGCCCAGGCCCATGTGCCATATGAAGATCTGGATTTGGGTTCCTGTACCTGTGGAATGGTGCCAGCCTCACAGAGAACCACTCCATCTGGCCCGCTTGCTGTCTTTTCAGCGGACAGTTCCAGTTTCTGTCAGGGTGGCAGCTTCTGGGGCGTGGTGTGACGTGACCTGTGGACCACCTGTGCTCTACAGTGGGTGCCCTGCCCTGATAGAAAGTTACGTGGGTCCACATACTTCACAAGCCCTTAGGTAGTGGAGCTGGCTGTCAGTTTCTTTCATTCATCATGTGATTTAATAGTCTGCGTGTAAAGTTAAAAAGAACTCTTGGCTGGAGAAGAAGTCTAAGTCACAGGAAAGCATTTAGTCACTTGGCACAGTTTTTTTCTTAGTGATACATAAAATGATAATTTCTTATGTTTAGATAGTGTCTTAAACTTGAAGTAGGATATCTATATTTTCATCATTGTCCTTGGTAACTAGTAATATCAAATATCTATCTGATTAGCAACTAATATTTCCGATGCCCATCTATTTTTCTTTCTTTCCTTTTTTAATACATCTTCATTGACTTCAGAGAGAGGAAAGGAGAGGGAGAGAGAGAGATAGAAACATCAATGGTGAAAGAGTCATTGATCGAGCTCACAACCCGGGCATGTGCCCCGACTGAAAATCGAACCCCAATCGCCTGGATCCTAGGTCGACGCTCTACCATTGAGCCACGCCCAGCCGGGCTCTATTTCTTGATATACCCTGAAATGGGAAAGTTCTGCTCAACAAATGTGATTTTATGTGTCTTGATGTGAAAAGCACTGACCTGAGGTCTGGTTTGCTTGTAATAGTTCATTTGAAGTTTAATAATTTAACATTTCACATAATGAAAGCAACGAGTGAAGAACTGAAGCTTTGCTGTAAGCTTGCGTTTCAGCTCAGAGTGCTTTTACTATTGTTACACATTTTACAGTGTGGCATGGTCAGCATACCCAGTTGGAATTATGGTGTCCATTATTTGGTTATTTCACACAAACTTTTTCACTAGTAATTATGTGTTTTGCAGAATCTTAACATTTTACACTGGCCTTTAAAAGTGGTACTTGGATGATACAAATTTTCACCTTATCATATTGTAGGTGTTACAGTCTGTCTTGCAGAATTTCAGCAAATGCTGTGTGTATTAATAGAAGAGGTGAAGTGAAGGAATAATCTTTTGTCTTTCAAGGTTGGCTGGGGAGTTTTTGAAGTCGAACTACTTGTTTGTAGCTGTGGGGCAAGTGGGCGGAGCGTGCACGGACGTCCAGCAGGCGGTCCTCCAGGTGGGCCAGTACTCCAAGAGAGAGAAGCTGGTCGAGATCCTGCGCAACATAGGTATCTGACCCCATGTAACTATTTCTTGTCATATTTTGATGTTTTAAAATTACTGTAATAATTGTTTGGCATGAGTCTTAATAAGCTTGTTTCCATTATTTCTTCTTTTCCTAAGGCTGTTTTCATGGTTCGGCTTTCTGTGTAAATTATATAGTAGTATAGTCCTTTCTCCTCCATTAAGGTTAAAAGTAGGAAGGATTTGTGGCTTTGCTTAACAGCATTGGACTAAAAACTGTTCCAGCAGAAAAATACGCTTTTCTGTTTCAGAAAATAGAAAGGCTTAGTACCATATCCTTACATCAAACTCTATGCCACCACAAGTGAATTCTTTGCTGTATTTCTAGCCCCAGTTTTACTTCTAAGGCCTCCTGTGCTCATAGATTCAAGCATTTTAGAGCTGGAAGGAACTTAAAGATCTAATTCTGTTTCTCCACAGTAGCAATGAGAAATCTAGTCCCGCTTCTCCCCAGAAACAATCTTTATGGAAAGTCACGTATTTCTTTCTTTGACGGAGACACTGTAGGTTGTATGAGGAAATGAGAGTTCTACCAGGGCCATCCTAATACCTTCTGTTGCCTCACAGGCTGAGCGTTACAGGCTGCACATGTCCGTCCGTGTGTCCCCCCCCCCATCCTCCACAGGAGCTTCTCTTTCAGTTTGAATGGCAGGGGTGGGAGAAGGCAAGAAACCATCTAATTTCCAAAAATGAGCAAAAGAAAGGAAGTTGACTTAGAAAGTACTTTTTAAAGGTTTCTGGTCTGTGTGTGTGTGTGCACATTTTCATATAATTTAATTTCTATTTTTTAACTTAAAATCTGCGAGCTTTTCTCCTTTTGCCTTTTAAATGCAGTTTTCATTATTTCATAGTATAACCAACTGCCTTTTTCATAATTTTAATTTTAAATGACTGGGTGTCAAAGATTTTATTGAGTTTATTGATTACCAGGGGAACTAGTAAGATGTTACAGCAAGTTCATAGGAGAATTCAAAGAACACATATATCAGGAAGGCTAACATGAATTTACAAACAGATGCAGAACTGGTTGATATCTACAAAGCAGTAATCAATTGCATTTGAGAGGAATGTTTGTATTTTTATTGTTTTAATCATTTGCATGGCTGTCATTGCAGTAGAGGTATGAAAGAAAAGGGAAAGTAAGGCACAGGTAACTGAAGGGTGTGCTAGACAGGAATTGTTTTTGCTCATTTCAAAGTGTTTCATGCCCTAACCAGTTTGGCGCAGTGGTATTTTAAAAGTGCCATTTTGCCTTTGATTCCTGCCAAGGTTACGTACCGAGGTTGCAGGCTCGATCCCCAGTCCCATTTGAGGTGTGTGTGGGGAGGCAACCAATCAATGTGTCTCTCTCACATCGATGTTTCTCTCTCTCTCTCTCTCTCTCTTCCCCCCCACACATCGATGTTTCTCTCCCTCCCTCCCTCCCTTCCACTCTCTGAAAAACAATGGAAAAAATATCCTCAGGTGAGGATTAAAAACAAATGTCAAAGTGTTTTGCAGTTTTTCCTGATAGTCTGTGTCCCCTCGTGGTCGTAATAATCTCAGAGATTATTCTTTTTTTTAAATATTTTTTTAAAAATTGATTTTTAGAGAGAAAGGAAGGGAGAGGGAGATAGAGAAACATTGATATGAGAACGGAACATGCAGAACATTGATCAGCTGCCTCCTGCGCTCCCCCTACCCGGGATGGAGCCTGCAGCCCAGGCACGTGCTCTCTTTGGGAATTGAACCAGCAACCTTTAGGTGCACAGGAAGACACCCAACCACCTGAGCCATACTGGCCAGGGCTCAGAGATTATTCTTGGTCACAAGAAAGGCTTGTCTTACTATGTTTAGTTTATTCGTGTAAGTGCAGCAAGACTGTTCATTAACAGTATAGACCTCCTTGAGTTTGTTTTGCAAACCTAGAGCCACACAGTATCAAACAAACTAAAGTCATAAAACTAACTTCTGTCTGGAAGTTTTAATTAGAAGTCCAAGATTAAACTTGTTCAAGTATTTCAATTTTCCTTGGTTTTCATTTTTAATATGGTTAAACATCAATAGTTATAACCTACATAATTGAAACTCTTTGAAATTATCAGTAATTTTTAAGAGTTTAAGAGGCCACAGACCAGAATTTTGAGAGCCACCAATTTAGGACAAAACAGCTTTTTTCCTTTAAAAACAAAAGCGCTTATATTCCTGTGTCACTATTAATCCTCGTATAACCTCAACCACTTACATTAATTATAACTTTGAACCATCATGACTGGTATTTTGTAAAGGAAACTAGAGGCAGGGAGGGACAGTTGAGAGGTGTCACACAGTGTTATGGCTGGTTACCGGAACGCGTGTGCATTCTGTACGGCTTTCTGCACATGCTCCTTTCATGCCTGGTTAGAGGCTCAGAGAGGGCACCTCTCTGCAGTAGGTGAAAAACAGGAAGCAGAAGGACACAACCTTGTGTTAGTGATGAGCATTTGAGAATCCACCTGTATTCAGTGATCACCCATCATTAACTCAGTGTCGTCTACTATTTTAAGTTACTCAAAGCTGAAGATCTTGGAAATTACGTTCAAGATGACATCCTGGAAAACATACTTGTTGAACACTCTGAGTAAATTTAGTTGAACAGATGAACATTTCTATAGCCTTAAACATTATGGAGAATATTAGTTTGACTGGCATACCTCCATACGTTTAGAAAAATAAACCCAAGTAAAAGAAGACATATGTTTATAACATACTTAACATCGATAAATTGGAGAAGAGACAGGTGTTTTTTAAACCAAAGTTATTAAATTAGTCTTGTTTATCAAAGATTTCATTAATTAGGTGAACCTATAATCCTAAAATGTTTCTAAATTAGTTCCTGTAGGAAAAAATTTTTAAATGACAAATATAGTTAAAGTATTAGTTTAGTTTCTTTATTTTCTGGGGTTTTTCGGAGTATTTATCTCAATAAACTATTCCTCTATTTTATTTCTCTTTATAAACCTATCAGAATTGAGTTCCTTTAATTTAATAGACTATATAATTCAATTTGTTAATACTCCCCGTAGGGTATTAACATAATGATTATACATAACGGTAGATGAAGACTGTTCTGAACTACACATACGGAGCTTGTAGCTTCAGCTCTACCACTTCAGCCACAGGTCAAGAGTGAACAAAATACAAAAAATCACAGTCTGGCTATCAAAGCTGGAATTCTTTTTAGATTCTTAATTGATTTTCATTCACAATGGACTAGTCGACTAAACTTAACAAACTGGATTTTATGTCATTTCTCACCCAACAGATTAATTTATTAAACCATTTACAGAGATGACCAGATGGTCTGATCAGAAAAGTGCATCTGTGGTGGCTGCTGTCACTGGTGGGTGTAGCGCATTGTCTGAACTAGAACAAATGCAAATAGCAGAGAGGGAGGGTTAGTGGAGTTAAGTTTTTATGGCCGATTGGGATTCACCCCGGGAAACAAGGAAAGGTGGGGTGAGGGCTCCACTGCTCAGGGGTGTTTGGTATCTGACCCTCAGGTGAGCCAGCTTTGGATTTGGGCATCTTGCCAGATAACCTCCAACACTGTGGAAAGATAACTTCTGACAAAATATAAAGTCGTTAGTCTTATCAATGAAATAACTATGTCTTCGGGATCCTACTGGTTGGTGCAGGACCAGCTGCCCTTCTGATTTCTTTGCTGGTTGTATGATATCATCTCTAACTCTCACTTCCTCACAGTCCTCCCATCTTAGTTAATCTTAGTTTCATCCTTCTAAGAAGTTGCTCAGACACAGAAGCTTGGAGTTGTCCTTGATTTCTTTCTCTAACCACACAAAACCTTGGTTACACCATCAAAATATGTATAAAATCCACTGGCTGCTCAGTTAAAACAAAGGTCAGACCTCACTGCTTCTCTGCTGAAAGCCTAGTGGCTTCCCTTGAGAGGCTTCGTCAGTGGTTTCAGGGCCTTACATGGAACAGCTTCTATTAGTCTCGGTCTTTCCTACCCTGTCCCTGCCACCCTCCTCCAGCCACACTCTGCTCATCCCTGTTCACACACCAGGCATGCTCCTGCCTCACCATGGCCTTCAAACTTGCTGGTGTCTCTTCCCTGAATGCAGAGGCCACACAGGGGCCTGTTTTCTGCTTTTTTGAGCACATCAGGGACACCTATGCCTCAGGGTCTTCCTAAGTGCACTTTCCCAGATAGCCAGGAGGTTCACCATTTTATTCATACCTGCCTCGGTATCAAAGAAGGTACAATCTGAAGTCACCCTCGTGGGACCCTTTATCTTGCTGATTCTTCCCTTGTTAGGACTTCATGCATAATATTTGTCTGCATCCCCATAGTGAAGGCAGGGGCTTTGTTAGAACAGTGACTGGCACCTAAATATTTGTTGAGGATATGAAGCCAGATGATAGGGAAATGGGGGAGGGGATTCTGAACAGCAATACAGTCTTCCTTGTGTGGAAAGTCTCTGGCTCGTGCTTCAATTTCTACCAGTGAAATACTTTGAGCTAGCAAGTTAATAACCTTTGATGCATTAAGACCCTGGAGAAAGTTATCACTTAATTTTCTCTATACCTATGTAAGATACTTTGGGGATAAAGAGGTCCAAATTAAGATACAAAGTTAGAACATGAAACATTCTAGTTTGTCAGCCCTGGATTGGATGCTGTCATTATAAATACCGTGGACAGTCAAGGCAGAATGAAAGGTTGGGTGAGCTTGGGAGGGAGGTCAAGAGCGAAGGTGTGTATTTATTGGGGGAACTGCTGAAATAGACAGGTAGGTAGCACTTACCTTTCCCCAAGCCTCTTTTTTCTGCTGATGGCCTGGGAAGGGCAAAGGGCAAGCTAATTCTTTTAGTCTCTGAAATAAGAGAACAGTCTTTGTCTCTTTATCTATGACATTCACCGTGAGGGAAATGTCTGCATCCCAGGCCCTGGACAAGAAGGTTCACTACTCACATCCCACCCTTTTTCCTTTTCCTGAGTTTTAGTTTGAATGTTAATCATCGTTTCATTGTCTCATAGGTGATGAAAGAACTATGGTCTTTGTTGAAACTAAGAAAAAAGCAGATTTTATTGCCACTTTTCTCTGTCAAGAAAATATATCAACAACAAGTATTCATGGGTGAGATGATTAACATCTTTCCTCGTAGGGAGGTGATGTCTGTTTGCCATTTGTTCAGAAACATGAGTATATATAACTGATATGATGTAACCCCAGGATTAGTGTTCAGCATCCTCAAAATCTAAACGGTATTCTCCACTTTCATTTTAAGATTTTATTGGAACTAAGTGTCAGGAATGAGTGAGTTGAAGACCAGTCTGAGGACTCCTCCTCCTGAGGCGTGGGAACTTCTCAAAGGGCCTCACTACCTCTGGTCCTCAGCTCTGAATGTCTCCTCTGCTGAATCTAACCTTGATGCCTGACATTTTTTATTCTGGGAGTGCCTGAAAGCATTCTATTAACACAACTTTATTGCTACTTTACTAGCAGATATAAAACGTTAATCGAGGATTATGTAAGAATTTTGAGATTATTTTTGGGTAAAAATCTGTATTTTTAAGAAAGCATTCTGGTCAAGTAGTTGTATTTTTTTCAAAACTAGAAAGATTATTAATTGAGATTATTAATAAGTGAGACCTGACATTTGTCATACTTGAGTTAATATTTTGGCTTGTGTGTATGATCTGTTACCCCATCTGCAAATGAGGATAACTGTTCCAGCCTCAAAGCATTGTGAGAATTGTGTAATACTTGGTATATGAGAAATAGACATTAATGTCAAATGGAACTGCTTTTAGTAGCATTAAAAAGAAAATCAGATGTTGAATTTAAAGGCCCTCCTTATAATTTCCTTACGAGCTGTCCTAAAATACGTGCTTTCCTTTCTCCCAAGTGACCGGGAGCAGAGGGAGAGGGAGCAGGCCCTGGGAGACTTCCGCTGTGGGAAATGCCCAGTGCTTGTCGCTACTTCAGTGGCCGCCAGGGGGCTGGACATCGAAAACGTTCAGCATGTGATCAATTTCGACCTTCCCTCCACCATCGATGAGTATGTTCACCGCATCGGGCGTACCGGGCGCTGTGGGAACACAGGCCGAGCCGTCTCCTTCTTTGACCCCGAGTCAGACAGGCATCTGGCTCAGCCTCTGGTGAAAGTCCTGTCAGACGTAAGTACTGCCTTTTAAACAAGGAGTATTGCCACCTCAGCACTGAAGGAGACATTGTCCACACAGATGCTCAGGAGAGGGGGTTGTTCTGGACTCTGAGACTTCATCTGTGCTAGCTATACCTGAAGTTTATTTGTTTTTAAAGGCTCAGCAGGATGTCCCTGCATGGCTGGAGGAGATTGCCTTCAGCACCTACGTTCCTGGCTTCAGTGGGAGCTCCAGAGACAATGTGTTCGCGTCGGTGGACACCAGAAAGGTTGGCAGAGGGGAACAGTGCAGAACTGGGCATCTAGTTACTCCCTGGAAATGTGCCCAATACTGTGAAGTAACTATAACAGTCAATATTACCTAAACTATTATTTTTATACCTAGAAGGTTACTTTAGTATTTCTCTAAAATTTTATGTGCATAGATATTTTTGGTGTTAAAGGTGAGGAATTAACATCCAGATTTATGCTCAAAAGTTCACTTTTCCCAAATTTGCTCGCATTTTAAATTCTAATTTGGCATCTTTTGAACTTCCTGTAGGAACTCTTGATTTTGGGAATTCTGGCCACATTATTACTGAGATAAATGCTGGAGATAGGAGTTGTGCTCTTTCCCGATGTGTCAGGTCACAGGCAACAGAAGCACTGAGCATGCGCGTCACTAAAACGTATGCTCACTCATTGGCAGGCAGAGCTTTCAGTTTCTCCATCTGCCAAAACTATCGGCTTAAAGTTTTTTCCTTGACGTATTTGTGCAGTTTAGACTTCCCAGGGGAGGTGGCCTTTTTTCAGATAGCTGAGGTTCTGGAGGATTGTGGTGTGTGCTCTCAGTCTAGGCAGTGTAACTAAATTTTTTTTCTCTTTCCTTTAAAGAATTTCCATGGCAAGAGCACTTTGAACACAACAGGGTTTTCTTCCTCACAAGTTCCTAATCCAGCAGATGACGAGTCATGGGATTAAAGCTACAACAGCCTTCAAATTTGTGGTATAGTTTCGATGGAGAGGAAGCAGTTTTGATTTTGAGTTTTTAGCGGAAATTTTAAACCCAACACTCGTATCTCCTGTGGTTCTGTTCTTACTCCCACCCTTAAAATCCTCACTGACTAGTTACATGAGATGCTGAAGCTATATAATGTTGCAGCTGCCGATACAAAAGGTGTTGACTGGAAAGATTAAAGCATTCTAAACGTCTGACTTATTCTAGTGCATTCTTCAGGTTGTAGATGTGTTTCATGTCTAAATGCTAAGTCTCAGTATAGTGTTTATTGATCCTGTAACAAGCAGTGGCACATATGACATACTTTTGGTTAAAAATGTTCGGGTCTCATTTTCCCATACGAGGAGGCTTTAGCTGGACAGCATGTCCCTGGAATGGGAAGCAGACAGTGACAGACGGAAGCCTCTCCCCATGACTTTGGTTTAGATTGTCAGACGGGTGGTGGAAACGGTTCAGTGTTGCCATGTGAGTCTCAGTGGCATAACAGACGCTGGCTTTATAACATACAGACTTTCCTTGAGAATAAGGGATGAAACGCTTTCCCTCTCAGCTTTGCCACAGCACTTTTAATTCTCTTTGTTACGTATCATCGTTTTCAGCTCGTATATTTTGAAATTTTGTTTTATAAAACCAGTGAACAGTCATCTTATGTAAATAGTGTATGATACATATTAATACACAGGTGTAATGATGAAAATCATTCTTTGAACTCAAACTTTATCAACAAAAAACAATGTTGCTCGTTTCTGCCACATTTAATCTTTTTGATATTTTAAGATGAATGAGGAAAACAGCCCCTTTTCATTTACCATTTTATATCTTAAACTCACTATGTCCAACATGTAAGAAGTCCTTAGACCATTGCCTGAATCAACCAAAACACTAAGACATAAAACAATGAGGCGTAAATATTAGGGAGACAGAAAGGATCAGTTTTGAGCGTATGTTACTGTTCACTTAATCCCAAAGCTGCATGTCCTCAGCATATACCTTGTTACAGGAACTTGGTTAATAAATGACGCGATCACATATGAAAAGGGGCATTCAGTAGATGTTAGGATAGCTAGTTCAATGCCTTCCGCATACCATACTCAAAATCAATTTCATGTGAATTACCAAAAAAAAATTAAAACTACAAAATCTACAGTGAAATATTAAACCTTTGAATTGGGGGTGAGAATTGATTATAAGCTCAAAGGACAGGAACCATGAAGGAGAAACAATGAACAGACTTGATCATGAGGATTATTTACTTATATAAAAAGTGCAAACAGCCAGCATGGAAAAATACAGGGTGGGGCAAAAGTGGTTCACAGTTGTATGTGAAACAGTTTATTCTTGCGTTATTATTAACTACTTACTGTGTTACTTTCCACACGAACAACTGTAAACCTACTTTTGCCTCACCCGGTAATACTGTGACCTCCGTGGGCTGTCGGCGTGCAGTTCCCTTTACCCACGTGGATGTGTAGGGATGCCGGAAGTTAGAGGTACAGCCAACTAACAGACTGCTCAAAGGAAGCTCAACTGTGAAAACATGGGAAATATTAACTTACACTTTATGGCCTCACTTCTGGAAAAGGTTGAATGCGTGAAGATGGTTGCACTGTAATATCTTATTACATGAAAATCTTATTACATGATATTACTGTAATATCTCTTAATTTTCTCTGCCACTGTGTTTGTAGAGCTCATTTACAGGCCATTTCTGTCTTTTTCATCACTCCCTCAGAGAGCTTCTGGACCACAGCCTGGCTGCTTTAAAAGGCTTTTTGAATACCTTGATGTGTAAGATTACCATACCCAACTGCATTAGCAAATCAAAGGTACACACAGAAAGAAAATCACCCCCAATCCTACTGTCATTGCAGGCCAGTTTCAGACGGCCCTGTGTTTCATTGCTCTCCTCATTTCTAAGTGTAGGTTTGAATGATTTCTTCAAAAAATACCAAAGTAACAGGTACACATACAGGTAGAAAATAAAAGACTGTGGAAGGGTTTAAAGCAGGGAGCAGCGTGCTCCTGCTTCTCCCTTTTCAAGTTGCTTGTCCACGCTCACCTGCTTTCAGCCTCACCAGGTTTGGACATCTTTTGATTCTGTGTTCGATAAGTATCTAACTCACCTCACTCTTACATCTTGGAAGTTCTATATTTTTTCCGTTGTATTGAGATAAAATTGACATGCATCACAGTGTGAGTTTAAGGTATGTAGCGTGTGTGTGAAATGGTTATCGCAATAAATTTAGTTGGCATCCATCGTCTCATATGGATACAGTAAAAAGATAACACAGCCCTGGCCAGGTGGCTTAGGTTGGTTGAGCGTTGGCCTTACACCAACAGGCAGCAGGTGCGATTCCCAGCCAGGGCACATACCTAGGTTGTGGGTTCGATCCCCAGTAGGGGCACATGTGGGAAGGCAACTGATTGATGTTTCTCTCTCTCCCTTCCCCTCTATAAAAATCAATGAAAAACATAGCTTCAGTGAGGATTAGAAAAGAAAAGAAAAAACACCTTAGTAACTGTAAGTAATGTAGCTAGAGGCATATTTAGTGAGATGACAATAAAGCCCACCCTTCCCTCTATTTTCTCATCCAGACGTCTGTAAACTGTCCATTTCCATTTCCGAGTTAACACTTGCGTCCTGCCCTCTAACCATGAGGCCCGTGTGCTCTACTGACAGCTGCTCCTGACTTTGGGGATCCACAGGCAGGGCTTACATTATATAATTAGTGTTCCCCGCAGGGCCAGTTAACACAGTCTGGTGACCTTTCCTTTACTGTTTCCCCATTTTATGACCTCTCTTTACGGTTCCAGGGAGAATTACTATGTTAAGATCAATGAAAATTGATCAGAACCATTCCACACACCAATTTGCTGTAAACGTGGATCATCCCCTCTGAGCCCTCTGTCTGCCCTGTGGTTTGCCCGTCTTTTCCTCGCTTGGCGAGGAAACGTGCCCCGTTTACCACACTGCCTTCTGGCTCACAGCCGGTCCTCTGGGGGCTCCATCCCAGGGTGTGGGCTTCTGGGTTTCATCCTTCCAGCCAGTGCTTGCTGTGCTCCACCGCCGCCCTTTTCTGGGGGGTGTATGGTGTTTCTTTACTAATGTCCCCTAAGTGTTCCCTGTTCTTTCTTGCGGTAGAACTGTACGTACAACCCACCTTCTGTGTCTCACGTTCTCCATTTGTTTCATCTTTTTCCTTATGTTCTGTTAGAGTTTTTACTGTCTTAACCCTTTTATTTTTAGTTATTTTTTATTTCCAAGAGCTGCCTTCTTTTCTTTCCCAAATGCTGCTTGATAGTGCATTTGCTGCCTGCCTCACTGTACTTTCTAATCCCTGGAATTTAACCTACAAAGTCATTTGTTTACATTGAGCATTTGTTTTCCGGCTGTTCAGCCACAGAAATCTTAAGCCCTCAGTTTATGAGTTTATGTATATTGAGTTCTAGCTTTAGTCAAATCCAGCAATCTGCCCCATTTTTGCACCTCTCCGCCCCCCCTTCCCTCCCTCGGTGAGTTCAAGGCCTGATCTCCAGAGGTCATAGGTTGAAGAGTGATGATAAGCTCAGCTTTACTTCCCGTGAATCCTTCGCATTTTCGCCTGAGCTGGAGTTGGAAGCTCAGTGTGGAGTATCCCTTGTCAGTTGTGCCCCAGGCTCGGGGACAACAGAGATGTAGCAGCTGGCGGGTGACAGGGTGGCCCTGACTTCACACCAGGTGACAACCTTCCTCCATCTGGCCCGGGTCTGGGGGCAGAGTGGTGAGGCCTTTCTGGTTTATTTTTCAGCATTTGCTACCGTTTCTGTACAGGGCAGCGGCCCAGGCCAGAAGCTTGCTTTCCCACAGCCGCACACTTGCACTGTCCGCAGTTCCCTATCGGTCCCCTAACTTGAGAGAAGACAGCCTTCACTGGTAGGGTGTGTGCTCCTCACAGGCATTACATGTGTGGGCAATGGGTACCTGTCCAGTGTCCAGTATATCTCCTAAGGCCCCATGGAAGGACCAGTCCTGCCAGGGGGCATGATGCTGCGGTGGGCAGAGGCTACTGCGCCCCGGGGGCCACCTAGCGCTACCTCTTCACAGTCATCCAGGACGACCGACCTCTTTCCCGAGGCCCTGGTGGTCACCATGGGGGTGAGCTTGGACGCCTGTTTCTGTATCCAGCCAGGAGAGAACTGAGCCGTGGCTGCGGGAAGCTGCCACTGCTGGGAAACAGCTCCCAGAGGCAGCTCCCGGAGCAACAGACCCACCTCACACCCTGCCCTCCAGCCCAGTGACGGCAGCAGGACCTGGGTGTGTGGCACTGGAGGTTGGCCGACTGGAACTGGGATGCTGCCCACCAGAGCTCCGCAGGTGGCATCCAGGTGAGTGGCACTGCGGGCAAGCTTCCTTGGATTCCCCATTAGAATCAGTGCCCGGCCATCCTGGATCCTATTGTTTCAGACTCAACTTTATGTAGAACCTCAGAGGCTTATCAGAGTCTTAACTCAGACCACAAGCCTACCCAGTCGCCCAGAACCACAGAGCAGAGTCCAGCTCTGCATATAGAGGGTGTCTTGGGGAATTGTGTCCCAAGGGGTTGGGAGCAACGGGGCCAGTATACATACCCTGGCCCACTGGAAATTGAGTTCGGGGCTGGGGATTCAGGTAAATTCCTTAACCCTTTACCTAAGTGATTTGTCACCTGTCCTGCTGTGATTTAGAGCATGACTGGCCAGTCTTCAAAGTCAAGTTTTAGGGTTTTCGTCACCTGGGGGATTTCTTATAAGAATTCCTTGAAAGGTTTGTCTCCATCGGCTAGTGTTTTCTGGACTCAGAGTCTCCTGTTTGTGGGATTCTTTCTCACCTTTCAGGAAAAAAAACTTTTCTTCCTGTTGTGAACATAAGAACTTACTAACTACCTCAAAGTCTTGTATGTGCCTGTTTTAATTTGTTTTTTGTCTTAGAGTTGCAAGGGTGATTAGTGTGTGGGGGTTACAACTGCTAACAGAAATCACACTTAAAAATACTCGAAAACCTTCATGTGCAGGAGGCGGCCCGAGGAGGTGCTCCTGAGTAACAAAGGGCATTTCCTGTCCTAATAGGCAACAGTGAAACCCTGGGCATTGGCTTTCCTTGTTGACTTTGTGGTGCCCAGCAGTCAGCGACCTGCTTTAGGCCTCTGTATGACTGGGTTTTCCCCGTGTCCCAATGCAGAGGTCACACAGTGCATGCGGTTACAATAGGGTATTGTTTGAGCAGTGGCCTGTGTCAGAACGAGGGTCTCACAGCTGAAAGCTGGCACACTTGTGTCTTAACATATGAGCCCTACTCTGCTGCTGCATTAGCTGCCCCATCGACCTCAAATGGTTGAGAAGCCAGTAGAGGTCACATTTTCAGCCACGGGTTGTATCTGTTGTAACTACCACGCAGGCACAGGGATGCTTGTCGATGGGCCATTGAGACATCTTACAGCATTTCGCATCTGTCAGTCCTTCCTCAGTTTGAGGATTCCCCCCGGCCCACCCCCCGAAGACGTACTCACGACACCCACATGTGCTAACCAGCTGCTCTTCAGGTAAACGCAGTGCAGACCTGACAGCCCATCTCGGCTCGCTCCTGCCGCTGAGTTAGCTGACGGGGGTCACAGGTGTCTGGGATGGTAGGAGGCTGGGCTCCAATAATTCAGTCTATCAACAGTCAGGGCTGCTGCAGTGTCTTAGCATTAATACCAGCATTTGGAGTAGAACACAGGCTGCCCCGGTGCCAAACTACTCTGTGCCGCAGGGCGGCTCTTGCGACTGAACGCAGGGAGCCATGTCCTCATGCATTGAAGCTAAGGAAGAACAGAGGCTTCTCTCCCGGGGCCAGTTCAGTAGGAAGGTGAGCTCTGCTGCAGCGGGAAGACACAGACTCACCCGAGTTTATACCCCAGCTCAACCTCTTACTAATTGTGTGCTCTGGGAGAAATTAACTTTTTTTTTCCTTGAAGTAAAATTTACCCAAAATAAAATACACAGATCTCAAGTGTATACTTAAACTTTTACCTATGGATGCTCCTTTTAACCATCAAGATACGTGACCGTTTCATTGCTCTCTTGCCCTTTTCTGTCAACTCGCCTGCCCTGAGGTGGCCGCTGTTCTGGTTTTCATCACCACAAGTTAGATTCGACTGTTCTTGAACTTCACGTTTGGGAGCACAGGTCGTGCCCTCGCTGTGCCTGTGAGATTCATCCACGCCGCCTGTTGCCGCTCATGCCTTCCCTCTGAGCAGTGTTCTGCACAGTTTGCTTCTCCAGCTGCTGCTCGGTGGGCATTTGAGCTTCCAGTTTTTACTGCTATGGACAAAGCTCCTGTTCGTGGTCTCCCACTGTCCTTCTGGTGAACATAGTAAGCACGCAGCTCTCTCAGGTGTGCACCTGGGAGTGGGATGCTGACCACAGTGTAGGGATGTTTAATGTCATTACAGCCAAAGAGCCTTCCAGAAACAGCCGGGGCGGGGCTCCATGCTCTGCAGCCTCACCCTCACTTGGTGTGGCGGGTACTTTATTCTCACCATTCACTGTGGGTCTGATTCATGTTGCCGGGTGACGGGATGTTGAGCACCTTTCCACGTGCCTGTTGGCCGTTTCTTAGCCTCTTCGCATGTCCACCCCGTCTCAGACTTGCAGATAGTGCACTTGGGAGTGGTAGCAGGGGTGGGGGGAAGATGGCATCGCTGGATGGTGTTCTCAGGCTAAATCACAGTCCTTAGGGTCACTGATTATATTTATCAGGGTGGCACTAGCTGCTGTTACAAGCCCCAAGCTTCAGTGGCTCAGCAGGTCAGAAGTGTGTGCTCACCTACTGCCCAAGGGGGTGTCCCCGGTAGGCAGGTAGCACTCCAGGCCTCCTCCAGGGGCCCCCGCAGGCTCTGACCTGTGGCCTGCAAGGTCTCTGCTGCTCTTCAGCCAGAGAAAGGGGACAAGCCGGTGGGGGAGGGAGGAGGTAGGCATAGGAAAGAGTTTTATGGGTCGGACGAGGAAACGGCATGTCCATCTCCTCTCTGCTCCACCGTTGAGGCCTTTGTTGCATCTAATTTCCGGGAGGCTGGAAGGTGGAGCCTCTGCCCCAGAGTCTGCGAGAGCCTCTGCCGATGTGATGGCGGGGGCTGTTCTCAGGGACCTTGTAAACTGAGTCATGACAAAGACTAACTTCTTGTTAACCCTCACCCGAGGATATTTTTCCCATTGATTTTTAGAGAGTGGGAGGGAGGGGGAGAGGGAGAAACATGGATGTGAGAGAGACATCGATTGGCTGCCGCCCGTGTCCTTGACCTGGAATCGAACCCAAGGTCCTTGGGTGCCCAGCTGACAGTCTCACCACTGAGCCACCCCAGCCAGGCAAAGACTGACATCTTGATCTGCATCACGTAGCAAGGGGTAAAGTGCCAGGAGGATCTCAAGACAGCTTCCCGTTTGCCACTTTCTTTGGCCCAAATAAGCTGTAGGATTTGGAGGGTGGCCATGGAAATTAAAAAAATAACCGTGTGTTCTGTGGTGGCTTAAAATGCTTCCATGAGAGCTTTTCTCCACTAGAATTTTGTCTCCTATCTGATATTTATCAAATAAATGTGATCTAGAATACGGTAATAAAATCACTTTGTCTTGTAACATTTCCGTACTTTGTGATTTTAAAATTTTAATAGGCATCTAAGTAGTTTTTAGTGATTTACTTGAAAACTGCTGCTAAGCCCGTCCGTGGGGAAATGCAGTTGTGTTCTTTGCCTCGCGCTGCCGAGATGCTCCTGATACACGGGAGCTGCCCAATCATTGCGCTGCTGTCTGGTTGGTAACATCCTGGAGCAGTGGGAGGGATTGCCTGGCACGGTTTAAACCCGGGGCTATCCGTTTCGGGCTCTGAAGAGTGCAGTGCATGTCACCGATGGGGGACAGGGAGGAGGCAAAGCCGGGACGATAGGGGGCGGAGAATGAGCCTGGGCCGAGTGGGGCTTCCCGAGGGGCCGGCGTGTGAGCTCTCCCCGGGCGGGCCCCCGAGCAGTGCTGTCAGCAGAACTGAAACGTGGGCCCCCAGTGATCAGTGTCCCAAATACATTGCAGCTGGGAGCCAGGATAAACGTTATTGAGGTGTTTTCGTATCATGTCTTTGGAACCTGGTGCATATTGTACAATTACCTCACATCTCAGTTTGGATGCTGTTTTCATGGGAAATACTTGATCAGTATTTAGATTTTGTAAAATATACATAAATGTAATTTATGATTCACACACCCAGTAAAAGAGTCACGTGCCCACATTGTTCCTAACAGACTGTGCTCCTAGCTTCCCCGGCACATCTGGAAAGACTGCTTTTCCAAATACGGTTCTGGGTCGGCGTGATTTCCAGGGATCCGCCACTAGACCCCCTCCAGGAGGAGGTGTGGTCAGGGTGCGGCCAGGCCCCTCCGAGTGCCAGTAAATGGCTGGCCCTCACACACCTCTACTGGGAATATTATTACTTTACACTGTAATTTTGTACATTTGTTTCCAAGTAACATGTTCTGCTAAGATGTCCCTTTCTCTCAGGGGCTCTCTGGGGCCCTCTCTTCCCTGGGGTGGAGTGACTGGCTCCCTTCATTTCCTGAAGCTCTCTGCACACACCTCTTTCTTTTAATCCTTACCCGAGGATTCATGTTCTTTAAAATACTGATTTTAGAGAGGAAGGGAATGCAGAGGGAGAGAGACATCGACCGGCCGCCTCCTTTACAGGCCCCGACGGGCATAGAACAGACAACCTAGGTATGTGCCTGGCCAGGAATCGGACCCACCACCTTTTGGTGTAGGGGGTGGCGCTCCAACCAGCCGAGCCACCCGGCTGGGGCTGCACACACCCGTCAGCACTTGCCACCTGGGTCCATAGCACCTTGTTGACATGTTTCCCTCTGAAGCTGTGAGCTTGTCCTGGGTGGGGCCCCGCCTTCCTCCCTCTGTCTGCACCGTGCCCAGCACAGAACCTGACACAACCATGCTCGTGGGTCGATTCTCTTTCCTCAGCCTCAGTGTAGCTTTATTCAAGTGCAGTCGCATGTCGCCTAAGGATCTGAAAAACGCGTCATCGTTAGGTGACTTCCCTGCGTGAACATCGCAGACACGCCCCTCGACGGTGCAGCCCGCTGC